CATTAAATTCTCTTGATTTCTTGACAGCCAACCGTCTATTTTGTTACGGCTGTTCATACTGTTTTTCTATAAAAGGAATAATGTTATTAAATATTTTAATCTGACCACGTCATAAACGCCATTAGTATTCGCCTCTCTCCTCAATTATCCATTTGATTTCCTTGATAATAATATAAGAGGGGCTTAACGTTGTACCCTACCGTGGAGTTTGAAATGATACTTGTGACATAGAAATGCCATCATTATCGTCCCACATCGTTGCTTCTTAATATAGGCTTTTGATCCTTGTAGGAATGTCTTCAATGGCCCTACTCATAAGAACATTTGTACTTTGACATATACTTCCATCGTTCTTCGCTCATTCTTCTGAAATGACTGAATTGAAACTAAAATAGAAAATAATTTAAATCAGAGAGGCTTTTTGCAACATTTTTATATTTTTGGAAGGCACTTTGAAAAAATTGCGAATATAACAATTTCATTGAAAAAGTGGGAATATATTTAAAAAATCTTTATTCCACTACAACTTTCAAAAAATCTGACAGATGCAGAGGACCTACTTTGTAGAGTTTATCTGGTCCAGTAGGCCTAAGGGCATGCAAAGATAATGAGGGAAAATGAGATGTTATATAAAATTTTATTTCAATTATAGTTTATTTTATTTTCGCACTGAACGAATTTCATTTCAATTGGCATATATCAGTTAATCTACTAGGATCAGTTAAATGAAAATTAATTTTATTTCAGCGAGAATTTTTATATAATAATTTTATAATTAATTTTAATTTATTATAATTTAAACTATAATTTTATAATTAATTTTGATTTTATTTTTTATATATCTTAAATGAAAATTGATTTTATTTCAACGAGAATTTTTATGTAATATACAATTATATAATTTTTATATAATTATAATTTTATAATTAATTCCAATTTTATTTTTTTATTTTTATAATTTTTATATATCTTAAATAAAAATTAATTTTATTTCAGCGAGAATTAGCATCCGAGTAAGCATTTGGTATTTGTTCTATTATAAATTCTAATATAAAATGAAGTATCAAGTAAGTATAAAATAAAATGAAATGTTTGCACAATTATTTGGAAAAAATTTGTTTGAATTTAAATAAATAAATGAAAATAACTATTTGTGGACGAGCGTTATTCTTTTCGAACTTTGGCGTAGCATTTGACATTTCCTTAGCCATTCGAATCCTTGTACACTCCTTTGGCATCTACAAAATCCATAAAAAATCCATAAATCTTCCTATATGAAAAAATATCAAAAAATAGGGAAATTTTTTGATAGAAAAATTACTTGATAATTGATAATTATTTTACTTAATAACATTACTTTTTTTCATTCCATCACGCAGTTATCTCCTCTCTTGCGTTGTCCATCCATACATTTGCAAATGAGATAGCAGTTTAGTCCCCAATTTATTGATAGTGGACCAATATGCTCAACCAGTACCATGTTACTTGGAAAAAGATTTGTGGTACTATTGTTGCATTTGGATTCTCCTTTCTCATCAATTGAATTAGCTTATAGAATTGTTCGAGTTGCAAATCTTTTTGAATCCAAATAAAATTGCAAAATCCAAAATAATTAAATATGGTATATTTAAGGAGAAAATTGCTCACTTCGTACGATATATCGTCTCGATTTGTGCAACGGTCTGCAATAAGTGAATAGCCACAAACACATTTCATACCGTTAAAAGGATTTTGCATTAGAACCGTAAAACACGCTTGTGTATGGCTTTCGATGATATTTCACAAATTTTGAAAATAATGGCTGAATTACTACATTAATCAGAACGTTTTACAGATATTTTTAAGATCGAGAAAAGTGACACTGCTTTTTTTGCCTTTGCAGATGAAATTAAAATTTATAAAATATGAAACTTACAATATAAAAGGCGAACATTAAGAATTATTCAACGACGGTGACCAATGTGAAGATGGGCAATAAATTTTTATGCGAATCCTATTTATCAGAAAGTGATATTCATAATCAATCCTATTAATTAATTAAGGACCACGCGATAACTATTCGATAAAAAAACTGGCTTGCAATAATGCGCGAAATAGCTGTGCGCAGTATTATTTATTTAAATGCAAATTTAGATTAATTAAAAATCACAAAACACTTTCATTCTTATGAATTGCTTCAAATTATTTGCAAAAATGCTATCCGAGAATTTCACCATACCTTCCTGCACATTTCATTATTATATTTGATTGCATGATGAATAATTTTGTGGAATCGAAAAGCTTTGGAAATTCTATAAGCTAAAATGTTGAAATATAGTGTTGTATGTGAACATACGATTTAGTCGAATTGTTTTAGACAAAAAAGTGAACAATGATGGGAATTCATCGAAATGATTGCCACAAATATATTGTATAATTGTAATTTTTAGAATATTATTTGGCATAAATGATGAAGAAATTCGGTTCGAATTTTTGAGATTATACGAATAATAATGAATACTAAGCTGACTGCTTAATTTGTCGAATTGTACGGCAATTTTTAAGCTATTCTTTTCCACATTTTATAAATATTATAAATTCAAATTTCAAGCATAAATCGAAGCGAAACAATTTTCCGTCGGTGATAGTGATTTACGAAACGATTAAATTTTATAAATGACAATGACTGATAAATTCTAATATATTTTCCATAATTAGTGATTAAAAGGATTCTATGAAATTGGAACTTTTCGTTTATTTTCATTTATTTGGCAGTATGCAGAATGAAGCGGAGGATCAATATAATATAACAAGCGTTGATTCATGTGACAATGGCGATTGTTGTTCGAGATCGGATTTCCAAGATACATCACAATCGCGTCTTTTGCTATTACATCGCTAGTAATCATAGCCTTAATCAAATGTAAAACATGTGGATATCAGAAATTTCCAGTTTCCAGTAATTTTTTGTATTTTGCTAATCCATCGATGATCATACTTTCCCATTCCGCCCGTTCTTCATGCATATATAATCGAACACGGTGATGAAAAATGCAAATAACTACAGCACTATCTCCTGATGGGCCTATTTTTTTCACTGTTCTTTTGTTTATTTTTCTGCTATGTGAGTGTTTTATAGTTTTTTGTGAATTTTAGGATGAATAATAAATCAGAATATTGCTATGCAATGATAGAATAATGAGATTTTCAGGGAATAAGACATTTTGAATTTGGCGCGGCTGCTTCTGTGATAGTGTACCATGAAGATATGGTGCCAAAACCTTTATGTTTCAACCTTACGAGAAATCTCTGCATGCATTTTTGCTTATCTATCAGTGGATTTGTTTGGACGGGTGAAAATTGTGAACGTGTTGATGTGGATCCACGTTACTCACGAATTACATAGAACTTTGCTCCAAATAATATTATTTATTCTAGTATTTTAGACAGAAATATGCTAGCATATTTTTATTTTAATAACCAATTTTCTTATTCATTTTTATTATTTATATAATGATATAATGAAGTTTTAAAGATATTTGCTGGCTTATCACTATCAGTCTTTTACAATAAAAATTCAATTCTTCGAAAATTACAAACGGCTATTTGCCAAATTTATGATAATATTTATAAAGCGACTTCTCCGAATAAATAAAATTAAATAAATACGAATTTAAGCAGTAATAATGAGGACTCTTAAAAAAAAAATTTTCAAATTTTGAATTCTGATATCGCTAATTCGACGATTATTTCTACTAAAAAGATTCCGTCAGTCTTATTTATTTCACTGCGTCGAAAGTTCCATTCTTATCAATAAAAAATAAAAAGTATATGAACACAAAATACGCTTAAATCGGTAGTACCAACAGCGGTACGAATAATTTAGAATTTCTCTCTAAACTGTAAAATTCTTAAAGCGGAATTTTTTTTCAGTCACAACGGTTTAGCTATTTGATTTTTTTTGCTATTGGTAAAAACCATTTCAAGCAAATAAAATTCTTAAATTTTCTTTTTTTTCATATCTTCCAAGGAATGAATTTTTTTAGAAATGAAATATAATCAAATAAGTAAATTAATATTTGCAGATTTTATTATTTTTCAATCTTTTCAATTATTTGAATAATTTCGCGATATTTTCAATAAGTAAAAAATTTCCACCTGAATTCGAACATCATAAAATTATTCGCGTAAAACTCTCCAAAAATTCAATCTTTATAACATTCAATAACTGTTAAATTTGCAATATTTTGGACGGCAGAATAGCTTAGTGGATTTGGGAACGTTAATACTGTGGCTTTGTTTTCGGATAGAGCAAATCTTCCTAGTGAATAGTGAATCTGTGTTTCTATCGTTAAGTGATCCCAAATTTGAAACGAGAGGTGTGAACCAATATCGAAGCAAGCGGAGTTAGTTCAATAAAAAATGCTGAGCATTCTTAAAAAAAAGAAGTTTACCATAGTTGGAAACGACCATTGTTGGTTAGGCTCATTGCACTGGTGGATATGAATAAGTTAAGACAATTCTGCCCGAGAACTATTACAGTATAGATGAGTTTTATACATATATATAACCCAACGCTTTAAGGATAAGTTTCTTGCTGGACATTGCTCAAATCACATTAGTTGAAATGGTAATCAAAATAAAAACCACTGAATATATTCATTAATTTATTACCTTAAAATTACAGTAAAATAAAATTTATATTGTACATTTGTATATAGAGAGACAAAATATTTTAAGCAAAATCAAATAAAAAAATTAAATTTAGTCGAATAAAAATATAAATATATAAGTATGAAAATTAAAATATGAAATAAAATAAGTATGAAAATTATAAAGTAGGATAAACAATAGATGAGAAAAATCACTGTGAACATAGGAAAATTGCGAAAGAGAACGGTAAATTAAATTGGAAGTTTGCAGTAAAAATCGAAAAAATGAATATTTTGGTAAAAATGTATTATAGATATCCTTTTTCCATTCAAATGTTTCCTTAATTCATAATTCTGATATATCAGCAGTTATTGCGTTTCTTTCATAAACTGTAAAATATAACCTTTCGCACCAATTACAGATCTCGACCTGACCCAAACTGAGTACCTGAATTTTTGAATTAAGACAAACTGGTAAAAGAAACAAAAAAGATTAAATAAAAACTATAGAAAATTCTTGCCTTTTACTTCATTTTTTTCTTTCATCGCTACCACAAAAAAAAATAAAAAATTCGGAAATATTGTACAAGCCAAAAAATAACCCGACCTTGCCAACCACTTCAAATCAAGGACGCTTTTTTCGCCAAACAACGGTTCCACTAATTTGCCAACTTGTTCACTCAACATTTCTAAATGTGGGTCATTATGAGTTAATAACTGAATATCATGTTCTTTAGCATAATCACGCAATTCCTGTGGAACCTAAAAATTTCATGTAAATAAATATATATATGTTCGCAAGACTATGAAAAATAATATTTTTATTAATCAATGTACGGTGAAATTTGAAATATTTACTGGCTTAAATTTACTGGTTTTTCATTGCTACCCTTACAAATAAATAAATTTAAAAAAAAACGCACTGTACAGCAATGTTCAGTATTGTAGTGATCAATCATTGGCCGCACCTTCTCAGCTGCTTCATAAAGAGCCTTTAATTGAGCGATATCCAAATCGGCTACACCTAGCGCATATACAAATCTGTTTGACACCAATTTTTCGAATTGCTTCCAAACAGGCAAAACTTTTTCCAACCAAATTCGTAACTCCGAATCTGATTCAATAATCTATAAATATTTAACATTTATCAATATATGCAAAAATATCAAAAAGTTACGCTCTAGGAATAGCTAGCATATTGTCATAAATTTGATTTCTTTAAAATTTGTTTGTTAAGACGCCATACAATATTTATTGGCACAAAATTAACATAATGGGAACGTTACCACAAAAAACTGATGAATATTTATATTTTTAAGCTTTACGTCACGGTTAATAAGACCATCTCTTTCAGTTCATCTTATAATCGATTAAATATTGCATCAACTGCAATCTTGATTCAACAAAAATCGAGCTTTCATTTTCTATTCATTCATCCAAACGTCTCATCTTGATGACATATATTTCAGCATTTTCAGTATAACTTGATATTTTCACAGTATTTAAGTCAAATCTGAGCCTCGCATTCACTTAAAATAGCTACTGCGCGAAGCTAAAAAATTTTATAAGGAGATGAACCAATTTTCAAAAAGAAAAGATTAAAATCTGTATTGCTACTATTTCTTCACTCATCAAATACTTAAATATATATATATATATATATAAAATATATATTTTATATATGTTTCATTAAATGTGGAAAGTAAAGGCCAAAGTAATTCCAAATTCCAATGACAACTGCAGCACATGGAACTGTGATTCTTAAACGAAAAAAGTGGCTTCAGCAGATTCCAGGAATAAAATCAAAGATCTAAGATCAAAGATCTCTTTCTAGAAGAGCGCAATAATAGGAATAGTTAAGAAAGCGCGCAGAACCCTCAATCTCCCAGGCATCTAGTAGAGGAACTCGAGATTGAAGACATAACCCGAGACCATAACCACCCATAGGAGGTGAGAAAAGTTTTTCTTCTCACATATTTATAAATAAGGCAAAGAAAAGAACCTCAGAAGTTGGAAACGCGACGATCAGCTGCGAAATTGAATCAACATTAAGTTGTTTAAGCGCTAACTCCACACTTTCTTCAACTTGTTTCGCATCGAATTCCGACATAAAAACCTAAATAATTAGGAAAATGTAATCTTAAACGGTTTTTTTCCTCCTTTTAAAAACATTCATAATAATTTCCGATTGATTCCGTTGACTATGACAAAGAACGACAGAAGCGACAAGTGTTTTTATAAGCTTTAATTTTGGCCAAATGATTGAAAGGCCGCTTTCTCTCAGTAAGAATAAAAATCAACGAGTCGATCGTTATAACCCAAAAATAAAAGTGAAAGTAAATTATTAAAATTATTAAATTATTAAAATTAAAATAACCTAAAAATCAATTTTTATATCAATAAAACATATTTTAAAAAAGAAAAAACAACGCAAAAAACAACTTTTAGCGTAATTTTTAAATCATCTTTGTTAATATTTGCCAATTGACAATATTCCGAATCGTGTTTTAAGACAATAATATTCTCAAATCTGAAAATTATTTTTTAAAAGAATTATAAAAAAAACTAAAAATTTTTTAGATAAAAAATAAGATTTTTAAAATTGTAAAAATTATCTTTAAAAAAATTACTTTAATTCGAATTCTTTTTCATTGTTTTTTGAGTAATTTAATTCATATTCGAGAATCGCTAAAAGTTCTTCGACGGAATCTTTAAAAATTCGCCGAAATAATTCCTTATGGCGATGAATATTTCCCGTATCGATATGCACTTTCGTTAATTTCGCAATTTTTAATTTTAATGAGTCCATCAAAATCTCTAAAAATATTTTTATTATTTAATTATAAGGTGTTTATAAAAATTATTATTAAAATATTATTATAAAAATTATTTTTATTATTTAAAATAAAATTAAATATTTAACGTTGAATTAAATTCTCCTCTCCACTACTCGACGAAAACCTATTTAAATCCCACAAAATTACCCAATGTTAGGATCAAAGAGCAATTTTTTTAAAAAAATTATTATAATGCTCGAAATGGAAGAGCCGATATATAGTTTTTCTATCAAACAGTCTAAAGATCAGCTTATTTTAGTTCACTGGTATTTTTTCTACGAAAACGTGAAAAATGAAATATCTGGATATATCTCCATTGTGTGGGTGGGTGGGTTAGAAAGGTTGGTTCTGTCAATACTGTAAACTGCCAAGTACCACAGGTGGGGAAGAATGTATGTCTAAATGTCTTTTTTTAAATTAAATGATTTCAAAAGTAATCAAAAGTCTTCTCCATATAATTCTTTAACAGTTAATTATCGATCATCTATAAATCTTAAAAAGTCATTTGCGCGCTCTATAAACTTATCGAAATTATTCGTAAGCCTTAAGCCGAATTCGAATAGTTCGAAAATTATGCGACAAATCCTATAAGATGATCGAAATTGAGAAGAAGAATTAGATTAATTGCAAAAGATGCATTTGAGAGATTTTTCATTTTTAATGAGATCGACATTGTTGCGTTATCATCTCTTATCAGTTCCTGATAAACGCCTTCTAATGAGATCGCCATTGTTGCGTTATCATCTCTTATCACTTCTTGATAAACGCTTTTCGTTTATTTTTCTCACCACTAACTGGCTATTTGCAAATCTATCAGTTGGTTTGTTATAAACAATAAGAAAAATAATATAATTTTTTCAGGTCATATTTGATTCAAATGAATCGATTCGATATAATTTTCGATAATTTCGTGGTTATTAAATTCTAGCTTTTTTAATGTGCTTTTTTTTGCATTTCAAAGCTTATTTTTCTATTTCCAAAGATCTGAGCTGGTCAGAGGTTAAACTTTTATCAAATCATAAAAAGCTACGTCGACTTATTCTTTACTTATTTTTAATATTTCTCTTATATTTTTATATATATTTTATAGAATATTTAAGAGTGCTTCAAAAATTATGGAGTTATGTGTCGAATTATTATTATTATTTTTCAACGGTTCAAACATCTATTTTCATAGAATTTTTATTAGATATTTTTTGATTATTTACGATGATCCTTAATCAAATTTTTTTTTCTAGATTTTTAATAATTCGTAAAAGCAAATTTGATGAAATCTGATGCAATCAAAATAAAAATAATGAATAATATTGAGTCAACGAAAAAAAATCTGACAAAAGAATTTGAAATAGTTTTCAAACGAATCAGCGAAGAATGTTGCTTTGATGATTCGCTGTCAAAGTTAGATTTTAAATCAATTATCATTATCAGTAATCGATATCATTATCAGCAGTCATTCTCTAGTAGTATGCACCATCGCTGACTTCTCGAAAAGCCGAATGTTTTTTCAGTATCTAAATTATCAAGAATTAGCCTTTACCGTGGTTCAACATATCATTGAAAAATCTAGGTGCTGCAGATCTATTTGCACCTTTATTCTCTCTATTAACATATCACACTGATAATCAGTTGAGTGAGCCTAAAGGTGGTGAATTTCTCATTTACTTATATTGACTTATTAACTTGTCATTTATTTATCATTTACCTACTTAATAATTACTTTATTTATTGACTATTAGCGTTAGGCTTTTCACCGATCTCCTCTAATTAAGTAATTAAGTAAATAACGTCAATATTTTTTATTTTCATAAATATTTGTAATTTTTAGATTTTCTTTTTTTTTTCAGTAGTTCACACCATTACTGGTTTGGCTTGCTGCATTGGCAACAAGAGTAAGATTTGATTTGTGAGATGATTTCTAAGACTTAAGTGTGTGACATGCGAGGCCTTTTACCCGTTAATATTTTTCTTGCCTCCTTTTCCCACCGCTTAAGTGTGTGACATGCGAGGCCTTTTACCCGTTAATATTTTTCTCTGACCGTGTTGTTCTAGGTTGCGGTTGGTTCTTTACATTTTTGCCACCATTCATTATGGGAGTGCCTTTGCCAAATAGCGAGATGTACCTATATTGTTGTATCTAGACAAGTTATATAGCTTTCTCATATATTCTACTCTCAAGTCTTGTAATCATCAGGATTATACGTACAACAGCTAGATAGATGCGAACTTTTTATTTTCAAATTTACTTCGCTGCGATTCCAGAGAGATTTCGCATGGCAAAATAATGCTTCTCTGGGCTACTCGTATTCGAGTTGTAATTTTAGGTTTTTAGATTTCCATGTAATTTATTTTTACTTTGTATTAAATATTTTGAAAGGTCATTTATGAAATAAATTTTATAAAAATACTTTTTTCGAAAAAATTGTACTTCTTTTTTAAAAAATTGCCTTTCTCTTGTGAATTTTTTTGAACTTCTCGTATTTTATTTTCGATCTTTTTTCCTAACTTTTTGGCGCAGCTGATTAAATTTTCGAGCATTTATGGGTTTTTTAGGTTTTAATTGATAGGAAAAAAAAATTCTATAATAGGATGAAATTTTATTAATAGTTAGGTCGAAACTTTTTCAGAGATAATATATTGTCATTTTGCAATATTGTCGATGCAGTGTTCATACATGGTTTGAAAGATATTTATTTTATGCGAGGATCACGTTATTCAAAATACCCTGAACCCGTTAGTTTTTATTTTATTTTGCCGGTTTCTTTCTTTTTTATGTTTGGTAAATTTTTTTAGGAATTGTGTTATATTTTTTAAAAATATAAATTTATTTATTAAAGAATTTCTGGCCATTTTTGGAGAAATTTACTCATGGCTCGATTCGAAATCAGATCTCTCAAGCAAAACAAATCACTACAGATGTTGGAAAAGCCAGGGTAATTATTTGCGCATTAATAAAATTACTCTCATTAAGTTGCACATAATAATTGTTTGTATAGATGAATTCATTTTTTCGATTTTTTTTCGAATTTTTCAGAGATTTTAAAATTCAGTTGATTTTTTTTTTTTTTAAGAGAAAAATGATTCTAAAAAAATCTATGGTAATTGATGATTGTTTAATGCTTCTTCAAACATCATGGTCTCGTTTTCTATCCCTTAATGAGCAAATATATCATCAAATATGTCATTGAAAAAAAAAAGATCGATAGAGGAGAACCCTACTACTGAATGGTCGCTTGGCGAAAAGGGCCTTACAACAAAGCAAAAATGGTCTTGTACATTTTCTAGAATCTATTCTCTCTACTTAGAAGAAGAATAACATAACACAAGAAGAACATGTTGAAATGAGGGAATCAAGAAAAAATTCTATATGGTGAAAAAATATGGTTTAAAAAAAAACCGATTTTCCATTCTCGCCAAACATTGGCACATAGAAAAAAATTCGATAGCGATTTCGATAACTATGTAAATTATAAATTTTATCATTTTTTGTCGAAACAGAATGACAGAATAATAACAAAAATAGATATAAAAATGCATGAAATATCAGGAGAATGAGTCGAAAGTGATAGTAAGAATCGGTAAGTTTAGAATACCAATAGTTCAATTAATAAAAAACAGTATTAAAAAATTTTATAAAAGGAAATTTCGAAATAAAAATATGATCGTGAAATTTATGGTGATAGTTAAAAGGCTGATGATAATAGAAGCAAATAACAAATAAAAATTAACTCGTTATGTCAAATATGATATAACGAGTTAATTTTTATTATTATTGTAAATATTGTTGTACATTATTGTACATATAATAATATATCATCCTTAAAATTGTCGATGCTGGTTAGATTGCTACAAGACTAAGGCACTCGATGCGACATATGGTTGAATTGCCTTTCTAGCTATATCCTGTAGTTATGTTTGGCCTCAAAAAATCTTCCATCAACGCTATCAATGTTATTATTTGGGATCATTTCGCTGACCATTTCCTGAGTTATAATTGCTTTATGAAAAAGGCAGAATAGTTCTCTTTGCTCGAGCAATCGCTTTAATTTATGCGTTTATTACTCTTAAATCGTTTAGATTGAGGTGATTAAAGAATCTTAGAATAGTATTAGTATTAAACATATAATTAGTCATGTAAATATTAATCATATAAAAATCATGCGTTAACTGAAAGTATTTGTAGAAAATTTGTTTTTTTTTTTTGTTTCATTAAAGCGTTTACATAAGTCTTTACAGGCTTGGCTGCGAATAGTTCTCAATGAAAATGCACTGGAGCATTATTTAAATTTATTTTGCTGTGATAATTCGATTATAAGGTTCGTTTCGATTTATTTGTTTGTTTCGTATTAGCTCGAAATTTGCAAGAATAGCATTTCTATGATGTTAACTTGAATTGATGCATTTGTCGAAATATTTTATAATGCGAATAAAAAATGAAATTGGTCAATTTCATTTTTTTTGCCTCATTTTTTTCATTTTTAAATATTCAGTTTATTATATTTCAGCAAATACTATGTAACAGCAGCATATTTGCGCGATTTTACTGAAATTGAAATTTTTTTAAACCTTTTAAAGAGGCTAGCTAATGTTACTTTGAATGCGCCTGTGAATAGTTCATTTTTAAATTCGTGGACGCCAACTCCTTTAATACTTGCAGGACTTCTTAATGGAAAGTTAGCTCGAGGTTAGACCGTTCATTTAGTCTCTCTTTATTTAAATTGTTGAATTTATTTAGTAATTATCCACACGGATTTTTTATTATTGCACGCCTGCATCTATTAATCTTTAAAATATAAGTTATCATTTTGGTGAACCAAATTTAATTTTAGTTATTTTAGTAAATTCATCAAGGCATAGGAGGCAGGGAAGAATCAAAGAAGCCACTGAAGATATTGACGTGGCTGAAATTGCTCTGGATGTATTTGAAGCTGCGCCTGTAATCTCTGGAAATGCTGCCATTTCTTCTGGTTTTTCTGTTTTGTTTATTATAGAACTATTTTTCTTGTCTTGTAATTTTTTATAGAATTTGTGAATTTGTGAATTTAAATTTCAGGATTAGATGATGGACAGTCATCTATATATTCTCATCCTTCGATGATCGATGGAGCACTTGGTTTGCATAGATTTAGGCCATTCACCACTTCATCCATCACTTCTTCAAGTGATGACTATATTATTGAACATTCTGCTTTGTCTTCCGATGTAACCAATGTAAGATTTATCTTTTAACCAAATTTTTGAGGAAATGTATGAAATATCTCTGAATAATTTTGAAAACTATAGATTCAAGTGATCCATGAGCCAACCCTTAAGAAAAAAAGTGATCTCAATAAAAGTAGCAAATTACAAGCGAGAATTTCTTCAGTAGCCGGTGACATTTTGGTAATTATTTTTTTATTATTTCAATTTATAAACTTATTAATTATAATTTTCAAATTTTGAACTCTTAAAGTGTTATTTACTAAAAATTATGTTCAAATTAAAAATTTTTATGCCTATTAAAAATTATGCCTATTGCATCTCAAAAGATATCAACTTTCGGTGAATTAAAATGTTTAATTAAAATGTTTAAATTTTTTTAGTTCTTTCCTAGTTGCAGATTGAAAAACTATCCACGCATACTCACGAAGCAGACAATCAGTTTCAGTCGAACGAGGTTTCAACCAAGCTTTCAAAAGAGATTGTGCAATTTTCCAATATCGAATCATTTCTTACGAATGAACCGAATAAAAGTGAAATCATTAAATCATTGGACGTGGAAAATAAGGAAGTTGATTTTCATGCAATGCAGCTTGATATGTCAAATGATATTGAAGAAAGAGAACAAGGAACGTTCGATTTTGGTGATACTAAATCATTGTTGAATTCATTTACACAGACGGATTCTGTAAATATAGCTAATATGGCGAATAGCGTGGAATGTATCCAAGATTCCGAACAAAACCAATTCTCAAATGTAGAAAAAGCAAGCCCTGAGTTTCAAGAAAATTTGCGAAAAGGCGTTACAGAAAATGAAATTTCGCCTAATCAGTTAGTGATATTGCCTCATCAACCACTGGATGATAATTTAAAAGTATACTTTTCATTTATGTATTACATTCATTGCCTTCATTCTTGTCAATTTAGTTGTCATTGATAAGTGGTTTTCTTTATTTTATCTGATGATAATTTTATTAATGATATCAATGACAAGAAAAATTTCATTACAGGTTCATTCATTTCCATTTATAATTTTAAATATTTATAAATATTTCCATCCAATGAGCAATGTTAGAGTAGGTAGTTGTTTTCATAATATTGAAGGGTAAAGTTTGGTAATAAACTTGTTATCAAAAAGTCAAGTACCAATGATCCACTTATTCTTCTGTCTGAAAGTTTCTTCTTGGTAAAAACTTCTATCCAACAGCCAACGAATGTGTGTGGCTTTAATGAAGTTATTTTTATTAATGTTATTGTTAAGGAATAATGCAAACTTTTTAGTGCAAAGAAGTTCCTCATGATGAGTTATTTTCGACCGATGTAGGAAGTAATAATCTTGTTGGAAAAGGATGGATTGTTCAATCGGTTTTAAAGGTTTTTATTTTAATTTAAAGGTCTCTTTTTTTGTTTTACACTACTTTTAACATTTTTAAGTTTTCGAATATTTATACATTAAACTCAAATTGAATTTCGAATTAGATTTTTTTTTTTTTGCTGATAAATCGCTATTCGATTATTTCCGATATTTCTTTTTCATAATTATTCTTTTTTTTAAATCGATTTTCATGTTTTTTTTTTTGAGCCTACGCGATATATTTGAGCTTTTAATGTTGCAAAATGTTTCTCATTGTGCTGTTACATATGAAAAAACTTAACGAATGTTTTATATGAAAAATCAAAATGAATCTTAAAAATTGCTTCATTACCACTTTTTATTTATTTAACTAATTTTTTCCTAAATTTTTTTTACAAGTTTTTATTTTGTTCAGATAGCTTGAATTTTAGGATGTGGAAAGTTCATCGCCTTCAACAAGTTTTGGCTCCTCAAATAACTTTGAAACATTGATACGTGGCGCATTGATCAACGATAATCGGAAATATTCGAATAACGATTCATCTTATCTATCGCATTCTTCGGTTAAAATTTTTAAAATTTTTCTTTTCTTTTATCAGTAGTATTTGATTTTTAGTTTTTCTTGCATTCACGAGTATTGCAGGAAAGTGTTAATGAAGAAAGTAGTGCAAATGCAAAGAAAGTTGAAGAGGAGAAAATGTTTCAAGAGATAGTGGATAAATTCTTTACTTCAATACAGAAAGAAAAAGGTCTTGATCGACAAAACTTTCGATGTAATTCATGCAAAAAATCAATTGGGCTTACATTTTCAAAATATAAGTTAGTTGAAATTAAGATATTTCTTTAAAATTATTCACTTTGCTTCGTACATTATTTTACTTTTTTACTTACTTTATTTCTTTATTTTTTTCATGTTCAGTCATTTTCCAGTCGCCTATCATGTTTTGTCTTATGCTTTATCATAGAAATATAAAATCTGATCTGATAAAATGATGCACTATTTCTAATTAGTTGATTTCAATAAAGATTTCCAAATTTTAACTTTGTTTTTAAGTATATTTCCTTTTATTTATTAAATTTTTAGGTTGTGCGCCTTAGATGGAATGTATTATTGCGAAATTTGCTTTGAAAGTGGTGTTCTGAATATTATACCATCTCGATTAATATACAATTGGGATTCTCGGCCTCGATTGGTTCATCCAAACAATAAAATATTATTAGATAGAATCAACGATCGCCCATTTATTAGAATAGATGTTTTGAATCCAGCGTTGTATCATCACTGTCCAACGATGAATACTGCTAAAGTTTGCTGCATTTAGAAATTCTCCTTCTAAATATGTGTAACCATTGTAGAGATTGTCATTTCCAAGCTTAAAGTTTTTAGCCAAATTTTAAAGATTTTTTTTTTCATTCAAAAAATTTTCGAATATTTTCAGATATTGCGAGAGAAATTGAGTTTTGCTGCAATGTATTTGCTATCATGTCGAGATTCAGTTGCACACGACTTGCAAATGCGAGTCTGGCCGAAGGAGTATCTATATAACGATATTCATCTGTATTCATTTTCGGTAAAGATTTCATGTTTTAAGTCAGTCTAGGTATTTTTTCAACAAAAAAGAATGCTAAAGTGATTAAAATGTGGTCTTTAATGATTAAGTTGATTTTTTTGAATTTCGAATTGCATATTTCATATTTTGATGGGAAAAAATAAATGTAAAAAATTTGTGCGATTATAAAATGAAACGATTTTTCGACATTTAGTGGACTGGCGAACCATTTTCATTTTTATATATTTTGATTAAAGGATTTGATAACTGTGCTGTCGGGTCAGTTCCAACGTCACCTATCTTCTATATTAAGTTACGCTGTAAATCACATTCACGCTTGCATTCTTTGCTCTCAGAAAGGATATTTATGTGAAATTTGTCCGTCAAACGATGTTATCTATCCCTTTGAAATCGAAACAACTTTTCGAGTATATTTGTCCTCTTATTATTTTTTTTGAAAATTAATCCTTATTTTTTTTAGGTTTGCATTAGATTTCTTATTTTTAAGAATTTCTTTTGAAGAACTTTAAAAAATTTATTATAAATTTTTATTTTAATAATAAAAAATAATATAGAATTTTATTTCTTATTATTTTTTTCAGTGTAATATTTGTTTCTCGTTGTATCATAAAAAATGTATTGGTGAAATGTCTTGTCCTAAATGCATTCGAAAGGAGTTTTACGCGAATTGCCAAACAAACTGATTGGTACTCCTTTTTCAATTTCTTTTTCTAATATTCATTTGGTTTTAACAATTGTGACAAAATAATATCCGTAATAATTGTGCTTTTTATTTTCTATTCGTTTATCGAATTATTTTGTTGAATCCTTCCTTATTTGCACAATGATTAAAAAATGTCCTGTCTACTTATATTCTTTGAATTTTTTATTATTCTGTTTAAAAAATTTTACAAAACCATTTTCTTTAAGAGCTAAATTCATTCATTGTTTTCATTATTATTATATATATATATATATATATATATATATATATATTTAATAATATTTAATATATATATATATTAAATGGTAGATTATCATTATCATTATTATATATTAAATGGTTTTGATAGAGGTGCTAACATTAAGGTACTTTGTAAATATTTTGGCTTTTGCATAATATTTTTTTCTGCTGGCTTTGTTATATATAAATCTGAATTAATAGGTTTTATGAAAAATATTGGTGTTTTCTATTTTATTGCTTTTGATATTTTCAATATTTTTTTTTATTAGAGCAGTAATATTGGTGCGTCCATGGAAATGCTCAAATGCTAGCTATTGCTACGACATTAATAAATTTTTTAAAATATTTCAGTGAAATTAGTTCAATTTTCTGAATCTTTCCCTTCGCTTTGGTATCATTCAATAAATTTTCAAATATTATATCAAATATTTGTTACTATTGGTTTATTTATAATTAGTGGAGATAGGTGGCTTGCTGACAGCTTAGCCTAGTGAATTTTTGCGGGTGACTTTCAGCAAGCAAGTTTAGCGAATTAATAAAAAGATTTAAATAAATAATAAGACGACAATATCCACAAAAAATAGAAAATTGGACAACAGCAGGTGGAATATGGAACTTCTGAATTCTTTGAAGACCCGAAGAAAGTGATAAAAACTTCGCCGGCAAAGCTCAACAAGAGTAGTAGTAAGAGTAGAAAAAATAGGCTAGGTGCAAAAGCATTTTTACCTTCGCTATTTGGTGACGCTTGGACCGATATGATCAGTGGAGATTTTGAACGTATATGAGCTCAAAGTGCTGAAAAATGAATGGCTTCGATTATATCGAGAGGCTTGGAAACGTCTTGTCCTAGTTGCTAATGGAGCCAAATCAGCAATTAATGCAAGTGGCAAAAGAAGGAGATCTTAGAAGAGATAAGCTTCTTTTCGTTTAAGGCTGGCATTAAAGATTCCATCTTAAATAATTAAATAATTAAAAGTCAATAATTAAAAGTGAAGTCCAAGTGATTCGACTTGCATCTCCATATATCCGCAAATGACTCTCTCCTTAGCGAAAAGATTCCATGCTTGCGATTGCTAAATTGTTAATGATGCATACTGCCAAAATGTGTTTGACGAATGTATCGCACTAATTAAAAACAGGTGAGAACCATAAAAAGACTTATCAATGCTTTAGGAAGATCAGCTGAAGATTGATTTCGAAAACAACAATTTCACTGCCATAATTTTTTTTCAACTTTCACTTTATTTCATTGATTAAAATTTACGGGGTGAATGTGCAATGAAAAGTTTTCCTTCATTTGTTCTTCATTTTAATAATATTTTTGCTGTAAGTAAACGATTGGCTTATTTTTAATATTTATTAATATTTATTATATTTTTATTAAAATTCATTTATGATTTTTTTTGAACTAATTTTTCTTTTCATTTAATGAATTTTTGCGAAAAAAATTTTTTCAAAATATTTTTTTTTTCGATAATTTATAAGAAGAATTCCAATTTTTTTTCTTTTTTTTTTTCGATCAACAAGAAGTCTCGTTTTGGCGACAAAAAATGTCGCCTCGTTCCATTTTTCTTCGACTCTTCTTGCAATACGGTATGTATTATTTGTGATTTCGACGTGACTGTCGCTCGACTGACCATCGAAAAGAGAGAACGGCTTAGTCGTTGAGCCATTTGAGGATGAAAATATTGGTTCCAGTCAGCTGCTCGAATTTCACTGATTTGAGTTTTTTCTTGGTGAAAGCTTATATTTCTCTCGATTCGATTCATAATTCTTTTTAAATTTTTTTCTTTCTTAAACTTATCAATTTACTATTTTATTATTTTTTATTTATTTATATTGAAGAATTTTTTTTTCAATTTAATAAACAAAATAAATGAGAAAAATGAAAATTAGAAAATTTGAAAAAATTGAAATTAGAAATTAAAAATTTTAAAAAAATTGACACAAATAATTAATATATTTTTTAATTAATTAATCAAAAAATAATAAATAAATAGTTAAAATAAAATATTTTTAGGTGAATTTTTATTAGAAAAAAAAAACAATTCCATTTATGTAATAAAATCATAATCATTTTTATTTTATTCCCTTTATTTTTATTAATAAAATTAATTTATTAAATCAGTGATTCTTCTGTTGATTTATTAAAATTTTTCATTAAAATTAAAAATGTAAATATTATTTCGCTTCGAATGATTTGAATGGATTATTATCGTTTCTTACTGATAAGACAGAAGTTAATTTTGATAAACTACCATTTTTTCTACCATTTTTACTCTTTTATTTCTTTTTCTTCATCTAAAAAATTTTTTTTGATATTTGCTCTAAAATGAAGTGCATTAGATAACCATAATCGTATGCCAGTGGTGCTTAATCTACGATGCATTCATCCAAGCTAAGGATGTGACATCGTTCTAGAACGCGATTCTCCAACAGGCGAATTGTGTTGCCCACAGAAATGCGCCAAAGGAATGCTGGCCGAGCAAGAGTGGGCCATTGGCGCATGCGATTTCGATATTCATTGCTGGTTGATTAAGTGGTCATTACTATTTATATAATTTTAAAAAGCAAATAAAAGCCTATATATATCGAACTCGGTGCATTGAGGAGCATGCAGGTTTTGGTGATGTTGAAGCATCCTTTGATGCAAGTGGAACTATCATTAAAATTGGAATTTAATTTGGAATTTCTAGGTGCTAGGATGTAGGATGACTGACTGAACTGACTGAAAATTGTCATCCAAACAGCCAGTGGGGCCAGCCAGAAATGGTGCACATTTTTAGATGAACCAAAAGAACATTCTCAATGTTCATTTCTTTGCCAGTAGTATATCTTCTTCTTTCGCCATAGCAGTTCAACATGTCTTCATTGATCTTCATTTCATCCTGTTGCTGCTTAAAGCATTCTCTTTCTGGCTCATCTTTTGGCCATTTTGCCATATTGTGCTCCTAAATTCTCGAGTTACGTTCAGAATTAGTAGAATTATCAGAATTATCTTAATATTCACCAGATTCCAGTTGCGTTCTTTCTCTCTGGTTATAGTCCTTGGGTGTATTATAAGGAGTTTCTGGATCTTCATATCGAATCTCCTTGGCGATTATTATGCCGGCAAACTATTTAACGATTGGCAGGCCATACATTTTTATGGCATGCAATGGGTTAACTTTTCAAAATTTGCTTTATTCTTTGTGGACAATGCATAACCTTGGTATATTTCTTAGTTGGATGTTGTTGTCTTCATTTCCTCCTTATCGTGGTTCCTGCATGATACCAGAATGCTTGTATTTATCTGCCATATCTGCTATGTATCCTGCCGACAGTTCCACTCATCTTGTAATTGCTTTCCTTTTTTTACTAACATCCACCCACACTTCTCCAGTCCTAATAATATCCCAGTAGATTCGCTTTAAATGAGACTTGAGTAAAACTTCCCTGAGAAACTTCGTTAATTCTTTCCAGGCATGAAAGTAAGATCAATGAAGGCATGTTGAATTGCTATGGTGAAAGAAGAAGGTATACTACTGGAAACTAGGATGATGATGAAAAACGCTGTTAACTGAAAAATACTGGAGTAAAACGTGATATAACGTGATGTTATCCATATGGTCCTTTATATGATGGTATATTTCACATATCCGTGCCTATTTCTTGTGATTATTTGGCTAAAAGGTTTTGATCTACGTAGATGGTAGCGGAGAGAATGCATAACCTTGGTGTATTCCGTAGTTGATTGTTATTTGTGCAAACTGTTTTGCTTTGACTTCCAGTCTATCTATAAATAGATGGTGCTGTTTTGAACCTCTGGTGCTATTCTCAATGGCCTTTTCCACATTATACAGAGATAAATTATTGGTCGCCAGTTGGAAAATTGTTCCCTTATGAGGATCTTTCATTATTAATGGCTTCCTTATTACCAGTATGCGCGAGAATCTGCTACAAACAGCTGGTTCTATTTTGCTCTGGAAAATTGCTTTACCTTGTTCTCAATTTATCCTAATCTTATTTTCCAGCCTCATTTTCCAGAATCGATTCCTATTCTTTCTTCATAAATAAATTTTGCTTTTCATCAGCTGTAAATGCTAAAAATCTTCTTCAGCCCTCTACCAAAAGCCTAAGATTTTGAGAATTCTACGTAGCATCTTAGCTCATCTTAATAAAGCGCTCTTCTTGATCTCTGATATTGTCCTTGGAATTTGTGGGAGTTATTTTCCTATCCAGTTACAATCCTAAGTCCTAAGCTTCTCATGTTCTACGACCACTGGGACCACATTGGCTTTTGTTTTCAGCATCTCTAATTCTTCTTTCAGCTCCTAATATTTCTCTAACTTCTCATGTTTCTTCTCCTTGATGTTCTTGTCACTTAGCTTTACTATATCTACCACCATTGCGAATTTTATCTGCCGCTATAGTGACTGGTTGATTGATCAATACCTGCTTGTCTGTTTAGACCACAAAGTTCCACAGGATCTAACTTTGTTGTTTTCCTCGATTTTCCGAATCTTCCCTCTGGTAAGGGACAATGTTATAGGTAGATTTAGACAATGTCAGTTACTTGGTTCAATGCTGCCTACATTTCGTATTTTGCCCCATGTGTTGGACTGAGGCTTCTGTATATACCTTGTGTGTCGTGTTTAATATGATATAGTCCTACTTCTATGGATTGATGCTTAGTACTTAGTGCTAGTGGTGCTGCTCTAATCAGTGCTATCTTTTAGATCTGCTTTTTTAAGCCATTGG